CTGCTCTTTGTAGGGGTAGCACATTCCCTGCTTGCGAAAACTTGCTGTGTTTCCTTTCGTGGTTGTTCCACGTATAAGATTTTATAGCAGAGTTTGGGGTTTTTAGCCCAAAACAGCTGGTGACAGTTGACAGGCTCTGAGCTTTGATAAGGCACAGTATGCGATGCGGTATACTTAAAGCTGCCAGGGTTAGCTCCGTGGTGTCCCGGTTGCGTGTATCTGCTGGTCACGCGTTTCGGTAGGTGAGTAAAGCTGGAAACGCTGATGACAGTATTTCCCCAAGACAGATGTGCAGACTTGCAGAAACGGCTTTCACCCAGTTGAGAGTACTTCAGGTAGTTGTTGGTCCGGAACGTAGATGTGTCTCTGATGTTAGAGCTCAGGCTGTGTAATGGTGCGGCCCATAGTTGTCAGGGGCGTAGGAACAGCTGTCTATAAACAATTTTCAAGAAGCTAGGTGGGTCTGGATGTATTTCCTTATGTCAGTTTCCTGTGATTTCTTGGATGAAGCTTGTTTCAGATTTGTCCCAGTATTTAGAAAGTAGTTACTTAAAAATTCCTTTCTAGGATTATATGTTGACATGTATATATGCTATAATCAAATATTTATCTTACTGATGTGTTGCCATTGGGCAGCTGAATACAGCTATGATTTGAGCATGTGGTGAGAAAAATTAAGCTATTACTAGTCTCTGTTTGCATTGTCTCCAAGTACATGTTTTAAGACGCTGCCTTAAAAGGAATACAGTAGTGCGCTCCAGGCAAAAGATTTTTTTTTTTTAGGTGTATTTAATATGCCATTATTTTATTAATGATTAGCCAAATGTCCTTTTGCAGCCTCACAAGAAAAAAAAGCCCTTCATAGAGAAGAAGAAAGCGGTAACGTTTCACTTGGTGCACAGAAGTCAGAGGGATCCGCTTGCTGCTGATGATACTGCACCCCAGAGAGTTCTGCTGCCTACACAGACAGTAAGTACTCGCATTTAATGTTGAGGTTCATCAGGTAAGAAATGCTGCAGGAGAGAGAAGTGGATATGCAGATGCACAATTCGGAAGCACAGCCTGAGAGAAGGTAGTTTTTAGTCTAGCCTGTTAAAAAGAAGGGGATGTTGGAGGGGATTTGATAGTTGTGAATTACTGCCTGCTGGTCTGAAAAAAGAATAACTGGCATTAGAGATATAAATATATTTTTAAAAAAAAAGCAACAAAGGTTGTCTGACCCACTCTGAAAAAACAGGCTTTGTCAGTTATGCTGCTTATAGAAGAAGTTAAGGTCTTGCTCCAGCAGTACTTGTACACTGAACCAGGTGGTTACAACACTCTAATGGGCTGTGTGTTAGGATCAGGGCTGGAGAGAGGGCTACAAGGACTTCAGAATTCAGGAGTTCTCAATAGATATGCTGCTTTTCTTTTTGCTACTAAGTTTTAAATGGACTTAAGTAACTAAATGCATTTCTTTTTACAATTCCAAGGGGCATGAGGAGCGAAGGAGGGAAGAGCAGCGGAAATACGGAGTCTTCTTTGATGATGACTATGACTATTTGCAGCATCTAAAAGAAGCATCTGGTACGTCTGAGCTCGTCCCTTCTGTGCGTGGACAGCAAAGCAGAATTGTTGTCACAAGTGACGGGCACATAGAAGATGAAATTCAGCGAGTTCCAGTAAGTAGTATTTTTGCTTACAATAATCTTACCCTGTTCTTTGGAGTTCAGTGTCCCGTAGACATACTGACCATGTTCAGCAAGTGTTATTGTGACTGTGACATGTGTATCCTATATATATATAGGATTGTTTTGACCCATAATCAAGTTTTCCTACAAATAAGAACAGAAGTTGACAAGCCACAGTTTACTGATGAACAGTGTTTTGCTAGCACAGTGTTGAGACACTTTGTGTACCCGTGTCAAGCTTTTGTGGACACAGATGGCTTACAAAGGTATTTGTTTGAACAAGTCATGTTTTTCTGGCATTGGCATTTGGTTTTGAGATGTTTAGAACTCTCGAATGCTCTGGGAGTTGGGAATATACCAGGTGTTATTACCAGTACGCCATGGTTTTTTTTAAGTGGAATGTAACAGAACTCAGAGGGGATAAAAGAAAACTTTTTAATTGCTGGCACCACTTGTGGAATTCCATGATGGTAGCTCACTCTGGAATGGAAATTAGTAAGTAACTTCAAGCAATGAAGTATGCAGTTGCCAGTCAGTCACTTGTAATTAAGGGAGCTTGGTTTAATCAAATACTGTAATTTTAGTCAAAACTGATGTTCTTAGTCAGAAACACCTTTCAGGTACAGTTTGGTGATGCTTTAAATCTCATGCAGTTATATTAGATATGCACATTAGTAAGCTTTTAATAAGCCTTTCAGTAAAGGGGTAATTGCAAATGTGTGTTAGTGTTCTCCAGGGCAAACAAACAAACATGTCATTGTGCCTGCTGTACAGCCATTGTCTAAAAAGCTTCAGAAATGCAAAAATACTGCCTCTTTTGACATAAGAATTAATGCTGCCAACATTTACCTAGCTTTCATTGCATAACTTTGAAAATTTGCCACCAATAAAGTAGCACTTGTCTTCATATTTTAAGTAGCACAGTTTCCCTTGTTCACATGGTGATCTGCATGTGGGTTTTTTTATGTGAGCTCAAATGAGAAACTGAAAACAAGTATGTTGTGATGTTGTGTTTTTTTTCTTTTTCCAAGGCTCCATCTATTAAGTTGCCTTCCTCAGTATTTGCCACAGAGTTTGAAGAGGACGTGGGGCTGTTAAATAAAGCTGCTCCTGTTTCAGGTATCATCAAATCTTTTACCTTTCTGTACCATGAGTTGCCATCTACCTACTAGATGGTAATTACAGCTCCGATTACAGTGTCATATTACTGGTGGTTCAGAACAGTCTCAGTAACAGGCATAAAGAATGACCTATCAGAAACCTGTGTTTCATCTGAGACCTGTTTCTGTGATTCACTAATGATGGATTTTTAGCTTTATAGGGAGGAGTGTGTGTGGAATTTGTGAGCTCTAACTACTGTGCAGCAAACCTAAACTAATAACAGGGGAAAACTGTAGATGATACTGTTGATTTATGCAGGGCTGGAACTGGATTTGCACTTTCAAAATTTCTCTTCTTTTCAAATGCTGAGTGGTGTTTGCTTTCCTTCATTGGTATTACTTCAGTGTTGCAGGCTGTAAGTACGCTTTTGTTATGTATCCGTGTTTGCAATGAACATTCCACTGCACAGCTATCTTAATGTTTTCTTACAGGAAGTAATTGTGGTAGTTCTCCCTGTCCTGACAGGAGGAGGCCAAAGTAGAAGAACACTTTCTAACCTTCTGTGACGTAGGGAATTTTAGGGGGTGGGACCTAGGGTTGGCAGTTGATCATAAGGTACTTTGACTTGGATACTTTTTTTTCTATGGTATTCTGGGTAAATATATTAAGTACATTTATGGAAGCTTAAGACCTCTGGGGAATGTTCTTTTCTGGATGTGGAGAATTGACAAGCGGCTGGTGATTTGCCCCAGTTTGCATCAAATCTACAAATATTATTGAGGAATTTTGTGATTCTTAAGTTTAATCTTTCCTTAGTGCAAATTAGCAGTCTCGTTGGATTGTTTTTTATCCAGGAAAGTGGCTTTTTAATGTCACAGAAACGCACCTATTTATGTTTTTGGTTTGTGTGTTTGTTTTTCACTTTCTAGGACCACGGCTAGATTTTGACCCTGATATTGTCGCAGCTCTTGATGATGATTTTGAGTTTGACAATCCAGAAAATATCCTGGAAGATGATTTTGTTCTACAAGCAAATGACCTACAGAAGGGGTACATAGAGCTTTGTAGAACTGTTTTGTCTTATGTAAATAGGAATGATGCTGTATGTTACTTCATGTGGTGTTGTAGGAAGCAAGAGTGGTTTCAGATTTCAGACTGAATACTTAGGGTATTTCCTTGTGTTATGTGGGTGGTAGCTTACCAAATCTAGTTTTCATGTGTTATGCAAGAGATGGGTTTCATTTGCTACTTTTGAGCTCATGGATTATATGTATTTGTTTACAGAAGCAATGTATGGAATAATAGTAGTATTAAACTATTTAAAACATTACTATCTATTGCATTTAAAGTAAGTCAGTAACATGGATAAAGGATAGCAGGTGTTTCCAGAACCTTTACAAATGCCTCATGGGATACCTCATTGCACGTTACTTTAGGTTTTGTCATTCTATGAACAGTGGGAAATCCTGCTAGTGTTAATATTCAAGAATGCAGCTAGTGTTTTTCAGCTTTGATGGGCATAGCTGGATGTAAACATAGCCTTGCTCTCATGACACAGATGTGTGATCCAGCAGTTGTCAGAAATGTTTTCAGCTTTCAGACAAAAGTACTCTACGCTGACTTTGGCAAGACTGTTGCTACTAAACTTGTTTTATTTTTACTGGCTTGAAAATAATCACTTTCTATCTTTTGCCTCTTAAGATTTAAATGTATTATTGCCAAATTGTTTCAGGTAACCCAATGTCGGTGAGAGCAGTGGAAAGGCCTGTGTCTTATTCTAAAACTGTTTTTTTCTTTCTTTTCAGGGGATCAGATGCTGGGGATGAAGATCAGTGGGAAGATGTGGAGGATGATAGTGATGAAAATGACAGTTGCAATAATGATAAAGACTACGATTCAGAAGGTCCTTTATCAGATGACGGGGTTAACGGACAGGCAAAAGAATTTCTTTTTATGCAGGAAGAAACCAGGAGTCGTTTCACAGAATATTCTATGACATCTTCAGTAATGAGAAGGAATGAGCAGTTAACCCTGTTGGATGACAGATTTGAGAAGGTGAGGCAGCTCAAGAGTGTAACGGGTTACAGGAAATAGGGTGTAACCTCTGTCCTGAGCAGTGGCAGGCTTTTTAATGTATAGGCTGAAACAGATACTTAGATATATATAATGCACAGATACTCATCAGAATAAGAAACATTTTCCAGAAGCTGATTTATATAGTATCCAAAGGTTAATTTGATTCCCATGTGGAAAGCATACTGACAGTAAGGAGGAAATCCCACTGCTGATGTGTTTGGCAGTTGTTCAGCACATGAGAGGGGAGAGGAAAAAGGGGCAAGTAAAAAGAAGTGTGTAGATATTCTTGATATTCTTGAAGCTATCAAGGAGTCGCATGACAAATGCGATCTAATTAGGTATCCGCTGCTTTATTTTAGTTAAGTAAAAAAAAATGTGTAGATATTCTTGGAAGCTATCAAGGAGTCGCATGACAAATGCGATCTAAATAGGTATCCGCTGCTTTATTTTAGTTTTTTGAACAATTTGATGAAGATGAAATTGGAGCCTTGGATAACGTGGAGTTAGAAGGCTATATTAATGCGGACAATGCTCGCTTGCAGGAAGTCCTGAATGATTACTATAAAGAGAAAGCAAAGAAGTAAGTATTCCCAGAAGTACTGCTTCACATAAGTAGATATGTCATCCTGTGTTTATGTTAAAAGTTTGGATATGTTGTTTCCCGTTCGTGCACTCTTAAGACTGCATCCCACAATAAAAGCAGCTACATATGAGTATTAACCATTTTTTCTATGCCACTGAATGTCAGTCTTCACTGATGAGATGATAGAAGTAAATGGAAGCATTTTGTTGGCTTATGTGAGATGATGCTACTTTTGTACAATTGTACTGAATTTAGTGTAGGTGATATCTAGAGGCTTTTTTCCTTTCCCTTTTTAGTGTCACTCACTTTTCCACTTACACCTTCAGCTTTGCTTTTAACAGATTCTGTAGCCGAGTCCGTGCCGTCCTGCAGGTATGCAGCTGACTCCACTGCATGCCTGCTTACGTGATGGTAAACTCGCAGGCGACTGGTGGGTGGGTACCGCTGTTTGGAGAACTGCCAGTTACTTGTAAAGTAACCTGTGTCACTGTAAGACCTCATTTCCACGCTGTATCCGCTTTGTCTTAAAGCAGGTGATGCTATCCCAAAGTTAAATGGCTACAGATTCTCACATTAGTCTTGTGGTTCCTGAGTGACAGGTGTGGTCATGTGTCCCTTGCAGTGAAAGATGGCTGGTCAGTAGCCGAGTCCATAATTGCCTCGAGAGCTGCCTCGCTTACAGACTGAAGAGTATACCCTCTTCCCTTCCCTTCCTGCTCTCCAGTCACAGACACTCTGTGCCACATAAATCTGAAATGCAGAACTGCTTCTTTTGTCGACTGTGTCTCTTGTCCTAATGTTTTGATTTATTTTGGGGGATGCTTACTTAAGGAAACTTATTTCTGCTGCAAGGTTCGTTAGGAATAACGTTCTTCGGTTGGGGCTTTACTGAGGGGAGACTGGGTTTACATAATTATGCATTTTCAAAAAAAGCTAAACTTTTTTTTTTCCCTCTGGCCTTCTTCAAAGTTGTGTGAAACTGGATACTCTTGAACCCTGTGAAGATTTAGACTCGCTTGTGAATGACGAAAGTGAGGAAGAAAAGGAAGAAATAGTAGCTGTAGTTCTTGAGGAACCAAAAGAAAAGTGGGATTGCGAATCCATTTTGAGTAAGTAGTCTGGAGTTCACTTGTTTGTTCCTAGGATTTCCAGGTAAATGATAGGTCATCTCAGAACTCTTCTAACAGTGCTTTAGGTAAGATGCTTTATGCTCCTGGAGCACAACAGCTGGAGTTCTTGCTGGATAAAACTGCTGCTTTTGTGTGGCTAACTTAATTATGCTGTTTTATATCTTCAAAGACTAAATGGTAGTACAATTCCTGATAAATTTACCTAATTTCTATTTGCAAGCCATTTTCACTGCTTCTTAAAAGAATCTTCTCTTTCTTTGTGCCCTAGGTACGTATTCAAACTTATACAATCATCCAACGCTTATTAAGGAACCATCAAAGGTAAAATCATGACACTTACTCTGAGTAACAGTCGGGCTTGGGAAAAACTGAGGCAAAAGTGATTATTTTCCCAATGGATCCCTCTCCTTTAAAGAAGGAGGGAGAGGAAAAGAGGGTTGGGGGAGGCATTAACCTCTGGTATTGCTTTTTCACTGATGAAGGGCTTGGATAGGAAAACTGAATAAGTTCAAAATGTTGTTAATAGGTGGGCAGAAAACAGAGCAAGGAACTTACTTTTCTTGGTACCTGTGACAGAACTTTGTGTAGTCTGTGTCTCGCAACCACTTGTTAGGGTGTTTCTTCTTGAAAACAGACCTGTATTTCCCTTCTGCAGTTGGAAACAGTTTATTCTAGTCTTTGGCCTTCCAGACATTCCTGAGTATTGGAGCACAGTTTGATGTTCCAGTTGTGTGAGATTTTGAAAGGAAACCTTTTCCCTGAAAGTTTGTAAAGGAATATTAAGTGTCTACTTAAGTTCTTTTTCTTCAGTAATGTTTAAATAAAAGGGAGAAACTTGTTCTGGGAGGCCAGATTCTGCTCACAGGTGTTTGATGTCTTACTTAGTGATTAATAGTTAGGATTAATGATAAGAAAATAGTAGGGGGAAACTTAAAAGACGTTTATTACTGTTAAATCTTAATCTAATGTTTTTATACTGCTGCGGCAGTGCGATGTGCACTTCTCAGAGAAAGCTGGGGGCTGTTAATGGATGTGCGCTCTCTGTTTTAGCCCAAACCAATAAAAGTTTCCCAGAAGACAGGAATTCCCCTACATATCTTGCCTCAGAAGGGCCTTACTGCTAAGCAGATTGAACGCATGGAAATGATTAACGGCAGTGACCTGCCAAGAGCATCAACGCAGCCACGTTCCAAAGATGAGAGCAAAGAGGATCGCAAAGCTAGGAAACAAGCTATAAAAGAGGAGCGCAAGGTATGCCTTATTGTAAACAAAACCCTGCAAAAGCACGTTATGTTATCTGAATTTTCTCTTAGAAACTTCTTAAGGTTCATTTGTTCTTGTGTCTGGAAATGAATAGGAAAAGCTTGCTGGTCTCAAATGACTAATTATTGCTTCTTTAAAAAAAATCTGCAGGAAAGAGAGTTAGCTTCGTAATGTTGTCACCCTAATTTTCTACATGGAAATTTTGGTCTGTTGCGGTGGCCACTACTACATACGTAACTTTGGAAGGAGCCCTTGTATTCCCTTATTACCTAGGGAAGCAAAGAAAGCAGTTAAGATCTTTTTAGATCATACAAAGTGAAAAGTCTCTGAAAGGATTGTGAAAAATCTAATTGACGACAGTGATAAGCAGTGATTGTTTTATCTAGGAACAGAAAATCATAGAATCACAGACTGGTTTGGGTTGGAAGGGACCTTAAAGCCCATCTAGTTCCAACCCCCTTGCCATGGGCCGGGACACCTTCCACTAGACCAGGTTGCTCAAAGCCTCATCCAGCCTGGCCTTGAAGACATCCAGGGATGGGGCATCCACAGCTTCTCTGTCATATGCCAGCATATCGGAAGCTTCAGTTAATTAAAGATGATAATCCTGGCGGTACGCATATTAATTTGGCTACTAATAGTTAGTGCCATAAAAAATAATACTGTACAGATTGCTGCCATTTTTATGATCTAGAACTGTTAAGCAGAACGGTTTCTTCTTGCGTTGTATGCCTGTCTTGTAAACATGTAATTGTTCGTACATGCAGGAACGCAGAATGGAGAAGAAAGCCAACAGGCTAGCCTTCAAACAGGAGAAAACCAGGCAAGAAAAGGAGTTGCTCAACCTGAAACAAAACGTTCAAGGACTGAAGTTGTCTTGATGAAACCAAGGAGCTTCTTGTGGAAACATCCTTAAGTTTTCATGCATGTGGAAAGGGAACTCTTGACTCTGAGCTTTGCCAGTCACGCTTAGTGGGGTTACGCAGGCGTTGATGTAATGCGAGCCAGTAACTTGTCGTTCTTCTGAAATGAAGCTATACTGAAAACAATGTAGGTAGCGATGTCTTTTCTGTCATGAATGATCTGGCAACTGTTGCCAAGTTTCATTGCAGTAGAAATGTATTAAAAGTATAAAAAAAATATTTTTCTTACAAGCTATCCCTGGACAGAGCTTTATATAAAAGCTTGTTGAATGCATTCAGCAAACCAGCAGAATCCTACAGATTGGATCTGATGAGATTCTTCTATTAAATTATTTCAGCTTACGAAGCAACATGCCCCGTTGTCTTCTCTCCCTTGTTCTAGTGGTTAAATACGGTGCCTTGACACAGCGCAGTTCTGGTAGTCACAGACTTTTCACCCACTCCCTAGTTCTTTTCTGGGCTGGTTATTTACTGTTTGGGTACCCTTAGGAAATATGCGAAATAACCTGTTGTAAACAGGGTTGTCTGAGAAGCTGTGGTGTAGCGAGGCATCCCTGTTGCCTAACCCGAGTTCTACATTTCTCAGCAAACAAATTCTGTTGCAGGGCGTGTCACAGTAGTCAGCGACCCTTTCCCTTGCGGTTGGAATTGGCTTTGCGGACTCTGCCTGGGTAGCCTGGTGGCCAGCACAGCAGATAGCCACTGCCTTGGTCTTCCTGGAATGCTATTCGTTTAGTTTGGTTTCCTTGAAATGCAAACTTAACCACCCCTGCAGTTGTTGCAAAGGCTGTCTGAGGATGAGCAGAGGGACAGTATCTTCAGGCTTGGTGTGGTCTTAAATTTCCGCCCTGCGCGTGCGAGTTACTGATGGTGACTGTTCCCTGCATGTGAACAAAATGAGTAGGGTTTGCTGTCAGTCCTTTGTATTCCTAAGGAGCCTTTGGCTTTGTGTCTTCAGGACTGTAGGCTGAGCAATCTTCTGCCTTTGGGCGAAAAGTTAACCGTTTTATTGGTGAGGAGCAGAGTAACTGACACATCAGTAGAGCTGCTTGACTGCTACTAAATTCAAAGCATTTTAAATATTGCTTAAATAGCTTTGTGACTACTGCATGGGGACGGCCGAAGAGGAGGACTGGTGAGGCCTTTTAATATACAGAAATAATTCAAAGTACTTGCTTTTATTGCAAAGAGGCTTTTCTAATATAATTAATCTGATAAAGTAACATGGTTTTGGGAGAAGGGGAATAAACAGGCATTTTAAGTCCTGATCACTGCTCAGAAAACCAAAGTGTCAATTCACATCTAGATGAAACCTCCACTTTCTAAAACTGTTCAAGAGCCTGCCTTAACCAAATCAGTAGAAATGGTGTCTAAGATCAGAACAAGTTTCGGGGTTTTCGTTTAGCTGGTATCTGTACTAGTTTTCATGTTTCACATGTTCAAGCAGGGTCTGCCCAAGTCATAATTGTTATTTATGTAATTGCTAATGCATGGTAACTTGGAGTGTGAGCTGTTGAGTACCCAAGGGCAACCACCTAGACCTCATGACGCAGTGCAGCAACACAGAAGAGGGAATTTGAAAAGCCATTCTGTTGGGATGAGTCAGATACCAGTAAAGGAGCTACGTGGAGCGAGTGAGTAACAGATGCTGTTGGGTGGTTTGGGTGGAATGCGACTTTGTGATTTACTGACAAGGAAAATGTTTTACTGAAGATGACAGCACACACGTTCTTTACTAGTCCTTGGCTCGTCAACCAGCCAGGCTGGATGAGGCTTTGAGCAACCTGGTCTAGTGGAAGGTGTCCCTGCCCATGGCAGGGGGGTTGGAACTAGATGGTCTTTAAGGTCCCTTCCAACCCAAACCGTTCTGCGATTCATTTGCTGTTGTACGTATTTAAAGTAAGTAACCTTCTGTGGCAAATTGTCCTTTTCCCTGACACTTCATTGCTGATTCAGTGATCCTGTGCTTGTGCCTAAATTCCAACAACAATAAAAAAAGCTGGATCAGTCAAAGCTTTGAAGGGATGAGAACAGAATAAAAGTGATGGGACAGGCAGAGGAAGACTCTTGAAAGGATGAGACTAAGCACAGACATATGGATGTTGCTTGGGAACAGAAGTGGAAAGACATTTAAACAGGCGATAGAGTAAGCACCAAAAGGGCTGGAGAATTACTTTGTTCCTCTGCGCTTGTAATCGCTGAAACACTGCAGTAACCTCAACTCGGTGCCTTGGAGTACAGTGAAATCCAAAGGAAAAGGTAAGGAACTAAAGCAGTCACACGTCTGCTGCTGCTCAGCAAGACAAGGATTGCTTTGTTCCAGCAGAGGCAGGTAAGGAAGACTTGCAGGAGCAGCCTTTCCCTCTGTAAGGTACACGTCTCGTGAAAAGGGCTCTTCGTCGTCGTGCCGGTTTGCCAACAAGCTGGTTTGGTTCGATACAAGTTTTGTCCCTGCTCTGAAAGGAGCATACGTGACTGCTGCCGGAGTCAGAATGGCGCAGGACTACTTCCCGTGTAATTTAAACACCTCCTTTTTAAAAAAAAACAAAACCAAACAACCAACAACAAAAAAACCAAACCCAAACAAACAAAAACCAGATTTAAACCCAAAAAGTCCCCGCAAATCTGACACCTACAGGGTTAAGATCCTGTTGGAATGCCATCATGGAAATGTTGTGTCTCACTGAGTGTGACACAACCTTCTTGTGACACCTGCTTCTTTCTGGAACAGTGATGGCTTACACCGAGCGGTTACTGGGCGCTGCTGGCACACGGATGGCGTGCGCCCGGGTGTGCCTGGCCCGCTCTTGCTTCGCCTCCCACCCCCCCAGCCCTCAATTTGGGTAGCGGTGACTTGGAGTGCTCTTCCTTCGTCTCCTTGCCCAGCCGCCGCAATGATGTGAAAGGACGCAGCTGAGCAGTCGCACGGAGCTGGCGCTTCGTGGGAGCAGGATGGGCGAGGCAGTTCTGCCGAGGGCAGCCCTGGCCCATGGCCGTAGACACCCCGTGCTGACAACTAAACGCTCCGTCGGCAAGGGCTCGGTCCCGGTGCTGACCGCTGTAGTCAGCCGTCCTGTGTCACGTGACTGAGACTTTTGCGTGGTTTGAATTCTACGCAGCTGCCCGAAGCCAAGACCCGTCTCCCTGTACGACCTGCGGAAGACGCTTTGCACAAGATGTTCTCATAAAACAAAACTCTTCTTTTTTTTTTTCTTTCTTTAATGGCACTGGGTTTAGCTGAAAGGGGTGGTGAGCACTGGGGAAGGAGGTGGCTGCTAGTGGAGCAATAGGTTGAACACATGCTTACAAGAGCAAATGATATAATAATTGCTTTTGTTTGTGAAATGGATCAGGGAATTCATGTCCATAGAAATATTATGACTTAATCTGCAATCTTGCACTATCTTAATTTACCTGCTTGTCCAAAATCTGGTGTTTACTACGTCATGTTTAAAATATATTGTCTCCTGGTGAGACATAAATTACTAACCTGAAGCTTCCTTTGTGTTCCAGGTTTCTAGGCAGAACTTGTTATTTCAGACTTCCTGGGGGGAAAAATAGACTAACAAACCCTCTGATAAGCAGTCCCTCTGACAGCATAATTCGGGCACCAGGCTCTGTTCCAAAGCCTGCTGGAGTGAATGAAAGGATTCCCCCTGACCTCCCTGGTCCCCGGATTACAAACTAAATGAGTGGCTGTGCAGTTTGCTTGGCACAACCCAACTGTGGGGGTTTTCTGCAAAGGGGAGTTCTGCACGCGCACCCCCCCACACTCCTCAGTTTGCATTACTGACCCTCTGGCCCTGTAGCAAATCAGATTGGCCCCACGATAGAACTATAACTGATTTAGTGGAAAAGGAGTGGACAAGGATTTTATGCAGAAAGCCGAGTAACTGTGGGCACCGAGATGCAAGTGGAACTACCCCGTGTTAGTTGTTCCACGTCTGGTGTCTCAGATCAGACACATGAAGAACATGATGGTTTAATCTAGCAAAATCGTCTGAGAGTTATCTAAGTTTCTGGGGAGGCGGGAGTTTTCTTGTCACTATGACTGGTACGAGATACAAGTCCTGTAACGCCTGCCCATGCCCTGATGGTGCAGGGCTGGTGTGCTTGCTGGTGAGCGAGGCACGGGTATCTGCTGCCCCCTTGGCCCTGCTGAGGAAGCCTCCCCTCGAATTTGCTGTCAAAAATGTCCAGCAACAGAAAGGGCCTGAAGCACATGAGTAGAAAGGCTCAAAGGGAAATAAGGATGTAGAAATGTGTGTTGTGGTAGAATGCGGTGCTGCTTGGCCCAGCCGAGCTGTAACCAAAATGCCCTGCTCGGGCAGCTGCTTAACTCGTGGGAAGGGAGTGGGTGGCATAGAGAAATTAACGAGAAGTTCAAGAATAATAACTGAACAACCTGGTCTAGTGGAAGGTGTCCCTGCCCATGGCAGGGGGGTTGGAACTAGATGGGCTTTAAGGTCCCTTCCAACCCAAACCATTCTGTGATTCTATGATAACAGGAAAGTGGGAGTAGGCAAAGTAAGATAGGAAGGGGGTCTTTAATTAATCAGCTGCAGATGGACTTAAATAGGGGTGATTCACAGCACGAGAGCAACGATGCAGGTTGGCCCTCGCTTTCACGGGGCTCCTCGCAAAGGGGACTGGCCACTCTGTTGCAGGAAAGTGAGGTCAATGCTGAACTCTGAGACGCTTCCAACTCTTAAATCTTCCTTTGTGGTAAGGTGTGGCTTTTCCACAAATTCGGCACTGGGTATCCACCCACTTAGGATGTCCCCATGTGCTCAGCTGGAGGCTTTATCCCTGGTTTTCCTTCCGCGTTGTCGAGTTACGTGTGCTGGTGAGGCAGCTGCTGCCTTCCCGCCTGGGGCTGGCACTGTGGCAGTGATGCCGATGGGATGGACGGTGCTGCTGTCCATCAGGGCAGTGCCCAGCCTGGAATACTTAGCTAGAAGAGAAGAACTAATAATGTAAATATCCCCCCCTGGAACAGGATCAGTCTGTTCTCCCTCTTACGCAAGAAATAAAGTAAACCAAGTAGGGGGGAGTCCAACGGGACTGTTCCTGTTCCTGGACCCACTCTGTTATTCTGTGCAAGGCATTACTTGTGCTGGCCTCCAGCATGTCCCCAAGCAGAAAAACTTGAAATGGTTTCTACTTCCTTTTTGTGTTGAACTTGGACAGCTTTTTAAAGCTTTGCTGAACTCCTTCAGGAGTTAAACTGAACCCAAAATAAATACCGCTTCAGCTCCCTGCTCCTGAATAGAAATGATTCTAAGGCCTAAGTAAGGAAGCATCACTAACAAAGCACGACTTCCACCTGCCAATGGCTGTTTTTCTCTGCATCCCAGCTGAGACATGATCCAATATGCAAGAAAGTCTTCAGCAAGAGGCGCAAGCCCTTCAGCTCTTTGAAACGGAGACTGCAGGGAACAGAAATCACCACTGTGAAGAAGCAGCCCCCGCAAAAGGTGCAGTTAAAACTGAAGCGTGTGTGTTATCTCCATCTGAAGTCTTTCATTCAGTATCGCTATTGTTTCCTCCGGGGACAAAGCCTGGATGTTGCGGATGAGTCTCACATATGTGCTTGACTCGGTGCCAAACTCTTTCCTCCCTCTCCCTGTGCTGCTGGTGTTTGAGAGTATTTCTCCATTCAGAAGCCAAACCGGTAGGTGTCATGACTACTCGGGGAACAGAAGGGTCTCCGCTCCTCTCGGAAATGTTCACCTGTGTATTTTAAAGATTGTCTGAGTCTGAGCTTCCTCTTCTCTTAAATGTGTCGGAGCACGTGATCCAAGGTGGTTGGTGTGTGAATGCACCAGCTTGAACCCCAAAACTGTCAGTAGCCCCAAATCTTTCACAGATGAAGCCTCGGAGATTCACTGCTGTTGAATTCAAGGGTTTAAAAGTGCATTTAAATGGAACTTGTTTACAGAGATGGAGGGGAAGAGGTTTAAGCTCTTACTGGGACAGTGGTTTTTTCCATGCATTGTTGGGGAGGAGGGAAATACACATGGATATGCGTGTGTGTAATTTTACCCAGTAATGGCAAATCACTGCTGATTTGGTATCCATGCAGACTGCTGTTGTAAGATGTCCTTTGAAATCAGTTGTGGAAAGTAGCAGGAGTGCACCAAGGTTTAAAGCAAGAAGACAAATCTGACAAACGGAGAAGAAGGGAGGGCGTCAGTGATAGTACCTTTTCTATTCCCTCTTAAGCACCCTTTGGTCTACCATCACCAGTGTTTTTTGGAGGACATCATTGTTCTCTTATTCATCTTCTGATGCTGTCGATAGATGACAAAGGGCTGAAGCAGTTTTCCTGTGCCTTTCAAAAAAAGCAAAATTCTTCTGTTTGTAACATTTTTCCTTTCCCTTAGGGAAGAAGAGCCCTCGAAGATTTTTCTCTGTCCCTTGCAAGGAAGAAACACAGTTTGTGTCTTCCTTTACTTCCATTTCAGAATCAGGCAGGGAAGAAATCTAACTGGAGGCAGCACCATGAGGATTTTATTAACGCTGTTCAATCAGCCAAGCAGGTCATAAGCTCTGAAGGAGGGCCACCCTCTTCCGCCTCCTCCCCCACCAAGCATCAATCCAGGTTTGTGGTCTACTTTATCTTATTACTGATCTCGTACAGACCTTGGGTAAAGCAGTGACTGCTTGTTATCCGCAGCTGGGCTTCAGTTTTGCACCCCCCGGCACAACACAATGTGAACATTAATTCCCTCGGTACTCTCATTTTCAGCTGTATTTCTTGGCTTAAATGGAGTAAGAGTGCAATGCAGATGTGGTGGGGAGGAGCGGAAAACTAACTGTATCCCTTTAAATTTAGAGGCAGCAAGTGTGGGGTCTGACACTAGACAGTGCTTTGGGAGGAGGGTTGGGGTGCCCATGTGCTCGCACAGGTGGTACCACGGCGTAACAGAGGGTGAAATACATCCCTTCACCATTCAAAACAACGGCAGTGCACACAGGCTTCCCCACTCCCACGTGGTGGCTTTTCCAGTGTCCCCTTCTTCTGTGTGGCACCAGGAAGTCAGTCAGAAAAAGACTGGTCTGGTGCCCTACTAATTCCAGGTGTGGTCTCTGCACACAGCTCACCGTGTTCAAAGTTAGGGATAGAAAAACATGAACATACAGCCAGGGTTTCCTCATATGTAATTTATGAAACGTGGGAGCAATCTTGGAAAGGGTCTCAGTGGAGTCCTGTCTGCATTAGGAAGGCGGAGGGTGGGAGGGGGAAGGGGGGCTCTCTGGGCTCCCTTCCAGAACAGGAATTCGTGACTGATAGCAATACCAGCTGCCGTGAGTCCAGCCTTTCTCCTTGTCTAGATGTCAGCAATGCAGCATAAGCAGCAGGACACGTCTTCCTTCCTTGATTGGGGTCAAGCTTCTCTCTGAATTTCGACTGCTGAACTCTTTAATGACTCTGTTGTTTCTTGCCTGACTCTACCGACCCTTAAGAGCAGACCTCTTCCTTTCCTTCTCCCTCTTGGAGGAAACAGTTGTACAGGAGCTGCTGCAGTTGTGGAGAAAGGAATTGGAGAACTGCTTTTTAGGAAAGACAAATTGCTGAGGGGCCTAGCGAGGATGTGTATCCTGTATGACAGGACTGTATATCCTGTACCACAGGACTGGAGAGAGAGCACATGGATTGTGGGGAGGATAAAGAGATATTTCCCTTCCTCCCCCTCCAAATAAGAGCCCAAAGCTCCCCATTCTCCCTGAAAGTTCCAAGTCCCTCCTGAAGCCAGGCATCTGTCCCGTCTTGTCCTCCCCTCCTGTCTTTAGAACCATTCTGCCCACGCTGCTGGTCTGGGGCTGGCTTGTGGTGGCTGCTCGGGCTGCCTTTTCTGGGCCATTACTGGGAGAAACGTTTTGTAACGATCCTGTCTATGTAACATGAGGATAAGGACACTTGGGCTGCTATTGTAAAAGGCAGGAGGCGGGGAGGAAGGGTGTGAGGAGAGCAAGGGCGGCACGAGGGCTGAATGTGACTGCGTTGAAACGTGTAGGACAGCGCCGGTGATAAACGTTGCCGCACAGCCCTTAGCGGAATCAGGGCTGTGACGCCGTCAGAAACGACTCTAGGAAACACCACCATGTTTTTCACAATGCAGCTTCACACCCAGAAACCTGGCTCTTGGATGTACTTCAGCTGGTGGGGACACAACTCCTTTAACAGTACTTTGTCAGTGTCCAAAGGAAATGGATTTTGCAAAAACAACTAACAATCTTAATGATCAGTCTTCGAAACTGGTCTTCACATCATTGGTTTAGACTACTCAAGGAATTTCTAAATACTGCTTTTTCTGCAGATATGCTAATTGTGAGGTTGGGAATAGGACAAAGATAATTTACTTTTATCAATCCCCAGGGATTTATTTCTGAAAGCAATTACCGTTTGCTGGGTTAATACCATGTGTTTTGGGATCCCAGGTGCTTTTCTAGAGGAGGTTTTTGTAGCTCTCCTAAGTCTGTAGTTTGGGAGCTCATGGGAACTCAGCGTGGAGCCAGGTTTTGAACCTTGAGTGCCCCAGTGCAGCAGAGCAATTCTCCTCCTGCAGCCTATCAACTGTGACACGAGTTGTTCCTTTCTCACGACCAGACTACATCCAGTGTTCGCGCTGCTCACGAAGGTTTAACGAGGCTGCATCAGAGAGGCACGTGAAGGTTTGTGAAGAACAAGCTGCGCGCCGTGCCTTCGCTGCAAAGGCCACTGGGTGAGCTTGGGTAAGCAAACACAGTCACACTTGTCCTGGAGGCAGATTTGCCAGACTGTAGTTTATGGTGAGTAAAAGCCTATATTAATAGAAAACTTAAGACTCCAAGGAAGTTGGTAAATCCTTAAGATACATGCTGAGCGTCAGCCAGGAGTTCCCTGAAAACGGGAGCACTTTGATATAAAAAGTGGCAGTGTGATAGTACGAAAAAGTTGGACAACGGTTTCTTCAGACTCCCCTGCGACTGGATTCCAGGGTAACAGCAGTAGGGAAGCAGAAACCTGGCAGGTTTTGTGAGGTAAGTAGAGAAAGCTCTTCCTGTTCATTTGGGCTCCCTGCTGTTCATAGGTTTGCTGTTCCCTGCAAACATATAGCTGATTTATGCCCTGGTCACTAGGCAGCAGGCCAAAGGGCTCAGCCCCTTCCGGGAATCGGAAAACGGGAGCTCATTGGCAGTATCTTGAAGTGAGGTCCTATGTTACTGTAGGAAAAAAAAAACCAAAACCCAGTTCCTTTAGGAGTGTTCTGATTTTCTTTTAAAAAATGTTTAAAAATCTTGTTACTCTTTTCCTATTTTGCGCAGGAAAAATGGCTCCCAGGGAAGAGGGGGTGCACCTTTTTCCTGTTCCTTCCTAGCGCTGCTAGCACAGCGATTTGGAGGGCTGGCACCAGGCTCCATAGGCTGCTTGCTGGAGTTGTGTGCACTGTGCATCTTCTTTCACTAGGGCAAGCAACCAGGGACTCAGAGAAACCCCCCAACCTTAACTACTGCTGTGTTACCGCTTCAGAAGAGAGTACAGGAAGGTGCCAAAGCAGACAGACCTCAGCCAGGGAAGGAGTTAATTTAGCCAGATTTATGTTTTTCTTCTAACAAACTCCTCTGATATATCTTCAATGGGGGTGTGTGTGTGGTTGTGGCAATTTTAAAGAAGATCCTAGGCTTTGGAATCTAGTTTTCTGATAAAACATGTCACTAGTTTGGTATTCTAAATTTTAGGGTTTGGTTTTTGGGTGGTTTTGGGGTTGTTTGGGGTTTTTTTTGGTGGTGGTTTTTTTGTTTTTCAAGCTCAAGCCTTGACATGAAATCCTAAACTCATTTCCATACAACACTTGTTAGAAATGAGAAGGGCCAAAAATTTCCAAGTGGATGTTTTTGATATTGAACAACTTTCCAAGTCATTATCCTAATCCATTGTGCCAAGTGCATACACAGAGGTTTTCACGTGGGCTCTCAGGAGGGGCTTCTTAGCCTTTTCAGTTAGGGGTCCTCAAACAGACGTCTCTCTACAGACCTAAAATATGCACTGTGGGGCTGAGGTTCCTTCCGTCCCATGAGGGACTCCATAACCTTTATCTTTGATGTTAAGATTTATTCCATCTTCTTTAACTTTTCGTAAGTCCATTTAGATGAAGCATCAAGCTTTGTATTTTTTTTGTTCTGTGACTTTTCCCCTGTTGATTCAGCCTTAACACCACTGCACCCCTAAAGCAGTTGCCTCTAAGCAGGACACCGTATGTTTACTAGAACCCATTGCCCCCGGTAATCATGACCTGTATTCAGTCTGTGCTTAGAAGATGTCTTATAAAGCTATTTTAATGGTTACTTGTAGTATAACCTGTGAATGATAACATACGGCTCTTTGTATCAATATCCTTGATCCCTACATTTCTGGGTTTTATATTGAATTTATGTAGGTTATAATTTTTTATGGCAAATACTTTTTTTTTTTTTTTTTTTTAAATCGTGATCTGCAGAGACCTCTCCAGGAATGCTGCGGAAAACCAGAAAATCTTTGGGTGTATCTACTGGAAAATCTTCAGGCGAATTTGGGTAAGATTTTTTTAAAAATTATTTATTTTAACACTGTAACCTAAAAGGATCTCATTTGCCCTTGTGAATATACAACGTCCTGTTGCAGTGTGAACTACTCTGTAGTAACTGAAGGCACCAATTGCACTGAACACTTTCGCAAGTTCCTCATGTCCCCAGTACAGGCTGCTGAGAATATTCATTTTGGTGTTAAATGTTCCTTTGGTTTGGAGCAGCTCCATCTCAATTAGGCAGGGACTTGGTGCTGCCACCACAGGCATCTTGAGAGGATTTGAATAGTGCCAGTGTCTCCAGCAGCTCTGGTGCTCTTTAGATATGCTTCTGTCATCCGAGTGAGGAAGATGACGGAGTGGTGGTTCTCCCTTCTCCTCAACGGTTAACTTCCCTGACCATGACGTTTGGTGCATCAGCTCTTCAGACCTTGCAGCCGGTGTTGTTCCCGCCTTGGGCTGTGCAGGGCCGTGTCAGAGCAGCAAGGTGGCCTTCCAGCT